AAAAAAAAAAAAAAAAAAAAAAAAAAAAAAAAAAAAAGATAGGTTAGGAAACTTCATTAGTCTTACAACAAAAATACCAAATATTAAAATATTTATTAAAGCTTTTTTAGAAAATAATTAACTTATGCATTAAGAAAACATGTACATAGGCGTATATGAGGGGACTTGGGGCCTAACCCTTCCAGAACTATTGTTGTCTATTTTGTTCAGGTAAATGTAATTGTGCTTATCATATTGAACTTGATTTAGCGAATGTCAATAATACAATAACTACTTATGTTATCAATTTTGAAAACTTAATTAGTAATTATATATCATATTCGTGTTTCTCATCTGAACATAGTAAATAATATTATTTTAGATTCTAAGCAGTGAGTTGGTACTTTTGAGAGACAAAAATTGAAAATTCTCAGTACTTTTCTTAATAATAATTAGGGAAAAGAAAAAAATTTAATGAAAAACGGGGTTTTTTACACAATACTACTTTTTGGAAAAATTGATATTATTTTTTTTTGGTGTAGGTAACTTTGTATATCTACTCGAAATATTCACTACATATTTGTATGCTTTTTGACTTATTTTAGGCATATTACGACATTTTCAATGTTATGTAGTTGTTTTATTCTATATGTTCTTATTTCATCACCCATTTTTGTAGAAGCTTGGGTCTGCTATATAAAGCTTATGTTGATTTGGGGATCGAGGCCAATTTATTGATGCCAAGTTTATTGAATAGACATTTCGAGGATTACACCAGAACACAAATAAGACTTTATTATACATATATATACATACATATATAGCTATAGAAGAATGAATTTCATGAATAATACTAACCTATCAAATTGTGTTTATTACTTTCTAATAATTTTCTTTCCGCTTCTATGTATTTCACCGCCTTATAACCATCGTTGCAATTGTAAAAGCTGAATGGTTGGTAAGAACTGTATATAAAATCACCAAAATACTCATCAACGTATGTCAAGAGAATTCTGCGATCATAGCTATCGATCACTTTTCCTCCATATATGATTTCACCGATTAGATACTTTAATGAAGTCCAAGGTATTTCATCGGGTTTACTTTTTCTCAAAAATATAGCAATTATTTGTTGACACATATCATATTCAGAATATTCAAAATTATATGATAAACTCCATCCAAATTGATTATACTTTTTACGTTCCTAAAATATAATTAAGTCTTAAAATCTATGTTACTGATAACCTATAGTTAAGAGTATTAATTAATCTAAGAGTTTACTAATAATATTCCATGGAAAAATAGTAAAGCGTATAGCAAAGATTTGAAAGCAGGATGAGGATTTTTATCTTCTTGGTCGTCAAAATTGTATTTATCTAAAGCATTCTGCATACACATCTTCATATGATTTAAAGGTTCAATAATAACTATTTTAAACATAATAGAATACAATTTATTTGTCACAGTGTTTTGGAAGTTAAGTTGATACACAAAAAAAAAACGTTACCTTTTAATGATCTGAGTAAAAGTGATATTGGAAATGAATCACTCAGTGATGAATATCCATTAAATATAAGCCATAATCTGAAGTTTGGATGCCAACTTTCATTTGCTTGTTCTAATATACATTCAATATCGTACATAAAACGAATAGAAAAATTACAGTTTTGAACAATCAACCAATTTCCACGATACATTGCTGATTTTAAAGCTAAATAAATAACCTAATAAACACATTATTTATAAAATTTATATCGTTTATATTTGTTTTTGTATTGTTATAAATATTTGTTTATTGATAATTAAAAATTACATTGTCATTGAAAGTTCCTAATGAAAGAACTTTGAACGTTGGACCAGTTATATCATTTTTTTCTGCAAGCTTAGTCAGATCTTTGCCCGGATCTGATCCATTATTCAATATCAAAACACATGGAGTTAAATTTGAAAATTTTTTATGTATATATTCGAGACTAAATATTAAAATACAAATTAGTATACAACTTAAAAATCATAAGAGTTATTATAAAAATAATGTTTGAAATGCTGAAATACTACTTGTCAAAATTATGATTATGATTTTATAGAAGGTGTATATATATGTATCAGTGATGTACTGATGCTCTAACGGTATCCCAAATTAATTTTTTATGAGCGTTTGAAGAATTTTAGGATATAATTATTCACACGTGAATTAATGAATTTTCATTGAACGATTTACTCATTTCGTAGTAATTTAAAAACAAATAACTGTGGATACTCGATATTTTTGACAATTATTTATTTTATCGTTTTTAATTTTTATACATGACTTGTTTTGAACAATTTAAACATTTGAAATTTAAAATTTTTTCTAGTTATTTTTCTACAAATGTCAATAAAACTGTTTTGGTTGGATCAAAAAACTTGACAAATTAATACTAAGTTTCTCGTAAGTTTTTATAACACAAATTAATTTACCCTACTATATTAGTAATGTCTATACTAACTAGTAAGATGAATTACTTTAAAAGCATGAATATCATAAAATATACTTAGTAATATAAGCTGCTAGGAGACTGTCTTCGCTCAGAATAGTTTTTCGTATACTATAATTTGATATCATTGAATTAAACTGTAATACATCCATTAAATTGATTTACACGACATTTAAAGTACAGCAGAGCAGTACCCATTTCATACTTGCCCACTTTTTTTATTGTTATAATTATTTTTTTCTTTTATTGTTGGCCCGCACGAATGCAACATTTTACTATGGTGATTTGTGGCCCCCAGACGAAAAACGGTTGAGTCTTGGGCAGTACTCGTATATATTATGATGAAACAAATTGTAAAAATAATGTTATAGCAAATTGTTGACAGTGTAATTCATGATAATTACCACTTAATTTTATGATTATTTATAGTATTAGATTTTTAATCGTTTAAAAATATTTTCAGCTTTGATAAACTTAGAAATATTAAATATAAACTAATTTTAGAAATTTGAGTTATAAACTATGTGTATTTACTTTGTATTTTTTTTATTGATACAACTCTCGTTATTTATTTCAATTATTTGATAAACGTAATTTTCAACGCATTGATACACTCGATCAGTTCGAAAACATCTTATCAGCATTAACACATCAAAATATTTGTTAATTTTGATAGGTATAGTATTTTTAGATTCTGGATATTCTGAATGAAACCACTAAAACACAAAAATATAAATACAATTATCTTATAAATATTAAATCAATAACAAAGAGTAATGATTCTTTATTATACAAGTGCCTATATATTGTATTTAAGACGTTACAGACATACGTATATTACTTAAGTTATACATAAAAAATATATAGTTTTAAAATCATAATATTTAAAGCTGTTTTATAATAATATTTGGTTTCGTTACTAGCAAATAAGAGTCTGTCATATGCGTACAGTATAATATACCTATAAACTTATATACATTTAATATTTACATATTACTAAACTGAAGAAAAATATTTTATGACATTTGGATGCTCATAATATTGACCCTAAGATTTTTATGAAATGTGAAACCTAGTTCCTGCTCCAATATTAATAAATTTTAATTTCCATAATCACATTTATTTTTATAATAACTCTCTTCCCACCTATAATCAAGGCTCTTCTAACTATATTTTTCGTATCACCAAATGAATTTTTTATCACTAATCGCTATTCACTTGAACCTCACTTGACCATAATCAAGGTCAGACACCACCTATTTAGTAATTTAGTATCGTTTATCGTACAGAACTACAAACAGGCTTCGATAGGTATAGGATTTGTTTGGGTATCGCTGACTCGCTGTATCAACTATACAGGAATAATTACTGAATTTGCTGAAAAATTTGCTTAATCCATAAAATTCCTCAATATCAATATCCCGTGGACAGACTTCAGTCTTATTCTCAAGATATGCATAAAAGATCTATGCCTAAATATTGGATAATTGAACCAATTCATTGTGTGTTTGGTATAGAACGATTTTCCAAATAATCTTACTCCGCCACTAGTTTTATAAGTTCACAATCTTAAACTCTCTAAAAAAAATTATTTAAATTAATATTGATTTAAAGTTTTGTTGAGTGATATCCCCCTCTACACTCTCCACAAAAAACCAATTAACAATGATATATCAACTACAAATCACACATCACGCCTACCTATCATCCCATTTTAACTTTCAAACACACCGTTAAATATTCAACTTTACTTTTTTGTTCTAACTGCAACAAACTTTATTCTCTTTAATTTATCTTTCTTTAACAATACATTTTTATATTTTTGTACGATTATATTTTCGTAATTAATGTTATTATTACTTATATTACTTCACCTAATTTTCGTTATTAGGTACCTACGACCAACCTAATTTTGTACAACTTTACCGAAATTAAAATAAAAAAATGTTCATAACATAAAAATATAGTTTACCTCTTTCCATTTGTCGATGTTATTACAAATATGTTCAATCAGATTTGAGAAATTTTCAAAGTTCGTGCTTAAATTAACAACATTTTGCCAACATTTATTTGATAACCATGTTGTTGGATTTTCTATGGTGATATTTTCAGAGTTTATAATATTTCCTTTGATGAAGAATATTAATTCTGAATTAAATAAATATCCTGCATCTTTATCTAACGTACACGCTATTTGAAATAAAAATAACAAGTTGTGTTTTTCATAAATACTGATACTACTAAATTCAAAAACATCATTTGTTAGTTGATCGATAATATTTGATATCCTATTCAATACATTTAGATCTGTTTTTGCTAAATCAATTGAATTTAAAAACAATTTTATAAACGACTCAATTGAAAATTGGTATAATGGGTCAATATCTTTTAATCCATAGAGGGACATATAAAATAAAGTCCCTTTTTGTGATACAGATTTGTAAATATCTCTAGACTGATCAATTAGAGTCATTGATTCAATAGACAGTTTTAATTCTGTAGAATATAAATCAATTTTTAATTTTATGTCTTCAAGTTTATTTGAAAGATGTGGATTATCAATCAAAGGTTCGGTACAGTTAATGATTTCTTTTAAAAACAAATTTTTAAATGCTTCAAGTTCTTCCATTTGTTGATACATATTTTTTACTATTAGTTCTTTCTTATCTCCTACTTCTTTTATTTCATGTTTGATCACCAAATTAAGTAGCTGGCCTTCCAAACCCTAAACATAAAATAACCAAATAGGTAAATAAATTAACAAAAATAATACCGAGGTAACTCATGATAACTATACATAGAAAGCTGTAACATATTAAAATAGTTAAATTTAAGATTTATAAACATATTAATATACTATTATTGGCTTACTTCTTGTGTGATTGAACAATTTATTACAGTCATATTGGAGTAGATGGATGTTGTAATCTTTGGATTAGTTTGTTTAGTCATCAAGTATAATCTGAAGTTTTGATTATGCATACATTTTTTATCATCCATCTCCATATATTCAGCATCAAATGACTCAGCTAGACAAATAAACATAAACACATTTATTTTAAGAAAATTAAGATTTTACAATAATAATGTATAATGTCTGTGCACCTCTGCTAACTCAATTTACTTACATTGTACATTTTTATTTAATAAATCCTTTATATCTAAATCCATGTTTTCAAAATCAATAAACATTACTGATTGCCCATATTGCAAAGCATTTTTTAAATGCACAGTATAATCGTTATCAGCAAATGAAAGAATTTTTAATGAGTTATTTTTTTCATGGTTTTTAATCCAATTAAATCCTTGATTATGTGGGTCAATACAAAGAGGAAATCGATTAGATTGAGTCATCAATATTCCATTTTGAATTGTGTATTTGTCACAAGGCAAACCATTCAAAATCAAACTTCAGAAAACAATAACAAAAGAGCAATTTTAAAATGTACATATTATTTTACTAAAAATAAAAAATAATACTATAAATTATTAAAATGAAGGTTACCTCTACTTTATAATAAGTGAATTAAAAGTGTTTAAATATTGCAGGATTTTATTTTGTTGAAAAAAATATTAATTACAAAAAAAATAAAGAATAATTACTAATGAATAATTACTAATAAATATTTATTGATTTATTTACTCATATATCACTTTTTCATCAATTAGTTCTTTTTCTAGTTCAATGTTCAAGTCGATTGGTAATTCCAGATCAATAATATGATTGTACCAATCGTTAAAAAAAATTTTTTCGCGATATTCTAATGAAAATGGACCAGCATAGACTAAAAATGAAGCATTCAGTAAACAATTACCGATTATTTGATTTTGTATTATGGTTTGATTTTCTAAATCTATAATCCATCTAAAATTTTATTATAAGATCAAAATAGATTTTATTGACATTAATATTATAATCAATAAAAAAACATTTAACTTATTTTTTTTTTACCTTTCGTGTACAGATTTTAATCCTTCTATAACCTTGTCAGCATATTCAAATTTAATTTTCAATTAACAATTATCTTCTTTTAGTTTAATATTTTCCTTAGATAAATCATCTAATGATTTTTCTAAATTTGATAAAGTGCATCGAGTATTTTTTAAACTATCTTCATGTTCTTTTAGTTTTAAAGTATCATTAAGATAGTCTTTATCAAATTTATTTATCTTATTTTTTAAAGGTATAATGTCTTGATAAATATGACAGTATTTTAAAATAGACTCAATAAAATTTAATATGCTACATTCCACTTTGCTAATAGATTGAATATCAATTGTTTTTTTCAAAAATTTTAATTTTGTTCGTACTTGAGTTTGATGTCTTTGATTAATTTTATTTGCATCCAATTCTTGTAAATTATTTAGAAAATTTGGTTCTTCGATCATATCACTTAAGCTTTTCCATGTATTCATATCTTTAATGCCTCTTAAAATAGCTACACATTCAAGTAAAGTCATAACTGATTCAGATGGTGTGTCCAGAGATCTAATGAAACATAAGTATAAATTAAAATAATTTTATAGTTTCCGATAAAAAATATATATTATGTTAATAATTATTATTGCTCACTTTAATTCTGTTAAATCGTCTGAACTAATTTCATTCAACAAAGTTCTAGTAGTACTTAAAATAGGTAATGTTTTATCGACTAACTCTTCCATTTGTTTTTTTGTGTTTATAATTTGTTCTTTTTTCAAATTTAATTTTTCTGTACTATTATTCACAATAGATATTATTTCTTCTATAAGTACACGAGTGTCACTAATTTGTTTTGTAAGTTGTTGACACATTTCGTTTTTCTGTATAATTGACAAATCTTGCTCAAGTAATGTATCATGTATCCTGCCAAGTTCTGAAGTACTTTCTTCGATTTTTTCTAAACCACTTTGAATATCTTGAGACTTTAGAAAACACAATATAATAAAATAAAATATTAAATCCAGTTTAACGTTTTAGCATAACATAAATTATTGACTAACTTACAAATCATTTGTAAATTATGGATGGCAGATGGCTTATATTTTATTATATTCAGAAAAGCTAGTAAACGAGTTATGACATTATAGGATTAAAATAATGATAGACAAATATAACAGACTATATAGTTTCAAAGAAATATGGTTAAGATGACGTAAGATAACGTTCAGTGGCGTTCCGAAAGTAGGTTTTTTTGAGGAAGTTGACTCAAGATCAAAATGTGTGTGAGGGAACTACAAGAAATAGCGTTGAAATTATTATCTGTGTAGGTACTACCTATATTGCATAATAGAACATTAGATCCTTAAATAACTTGTTACAAAGAAATTTATTATGATGACAAGGAACACTATTTCAAATAGTGAAATTATGTTATGTGGACCATTTAGGGGATGGTATTCTTAAATTTGAAAACAATAATAAAATAATGTTTGTGCCACAAAAATAATTGTGTTGTATACATAAAAAAGTCTTAAGATGTCATTGTCTGTAATCTTTAATTGTTTTCAGACACGTATACACCCCCCTCCCCCCCTCCCGAAAATGAATAGTTGTGTAATTCATTTATATCAATCATCGATAACTACAACAACTGGTCAGTAACAATTTGTTTATGAACCCCCACTCGAAAATTTTTTTTGTGTACGTGCCTAAATTGTTTTCATATACTTCTAAAAAATACAAAAAATTATTTTGTTTTATAGATGAAATACTATTGTATTAATCTGTAAAACTATTTGAACTTTTTTTAAAGAAAAATAAACCATACATAATTAACAATTAAAAATCTATATTACCTATAAGCCTTTATTATTCTGCTCATACGGTAAGATACGTTAATAAATTTATTACTTGGTGTCACTAAGATGCAAACAAAATACGCCTAGATATATTTTAATTTAATACATTAGGTAATATTATGTAGATAAGATGTAATATATATAAATATATATAGATGTAAGTTTTACTACACAAATTGTGTTTATTTTTAAATGATCAAATTTGTTCCATACAAGACATTGAATAAATATGAAAATAAAAAATAAAATGATAATAAAGTAAAATTAGTTAAGAGATGTCAGTGCACCATTTGTTTCATCTCTCTGAGACACGCGCAACATAGCAAATGTATAACCAGCCTTGTATTGTTACTTTTAATATTAGAATGAATTTACCTATTATTAAACTTTAAGCTCTAAGAACATAACCTGTGTCTCTGTTTTGGTATTTTTAATAATATTTAAATTTTTATACAATGTATAAACGTTTTTAAATTGTAATAATTTATATGCTCATAACTTAGATCAAAATTAATACATCATAAAATAAACATTATAGGAACACAGGTAATGTTCTTAGCTTAAAGTTTAATTGAATCCACTCTAATATTAAAAGTAACAACACAGGGACAGGGTTGGCGCTGTTGAACGTAAATTTGGTATGTTGCGTGTGGGTCAGTGAGAGAAAACAAATAGCGCATTATACTTAAGCATAATTTGTTAGTTTAAGTAAAATATTATGCGATTCAGTTTAAATTTCTTATTTAATTCAATACTTTATATTGGTATAACCTATAATGTAAATTGTAAATTTTAATTTATAAGTTTAAGTTTGATTAGTTAATACAATACCTTAATAAGTGACAGACTCGATTTTTTTTTAACTAAATTCTTGTACATTTGAGTACAGTCTACTAAATGTTTCAATGTGAAACAAATCTTTCTAGTTGTATGATTAAAAAATGTTTTTGCATAATTTTCTGCAGATTTATGCATGTATACACTTTGTTTTATTACATTACTGACGTAAACATCTGGAATTACTTGATCCTAAACGTAATAAATAAATTAAACATGAATAATATCATAGTATCATAGTTGTATATTATTTAAAAGTTAACGAGATATTTCACTGTACTTCATACATTTTTAAATGACAGCAAGACTATGTGAACTCCATTTCTCGTCACTATTTTAACTATAGAATTTTGCGGTAAAAAACCATAGTATTTTACACAAACTTAATATAATTATTGTAATATAAATGTATAAAACAATAAAACATGGTAGTATAGTAAAAGAATGTTGGTTCTGAAACTTTAATGTTGCATACTTGTGATGGAATAACGATTCTCCAAACATATTTTGCGATCTACCAGTGTGAAAATATAAAGTAAACAAAGATACCTATAGACGTATAGCTTAAGAACCAATATTCCTATTGTACTCATAAAGAAAAAAATAGTTTAAATTCTTACATTAATTAAAACTTTTTCCACCACAGCATTTAACGCCTCCACGGGCCATTTATTAATCCAGTTAACATAAGTTTTATTCACGAATCCGGGGTAATTCCGAAATATAAGTCTAAGGTTGTTTCCAGGTGACATTAATAACACAATATGTAGATTGTTTAGACAATTTTTTAAAAACATATCTCTAAATTAAATGAATGACAAAACATAGAATAATAACTCATATATAGATATATTGTTTAATGTGCAATAAAAAACTTACGTTGTGATTTCACTCGATGTGTTTGTATTTATATCTTTAAAACGCTGGACCATTTCTAAATTCTCTTTTTGATCTAAGAATAATGAAGGCACAAACCCGTTCGTTAATATATTATTGATAAATTCTAAAATTCCTATATAAATCATACAAAATATATGTACAAATATTAATAAATTACCATAATTAGAAATTAAATTAAATTATTTACACAAGTAAATACTTTTATGTATTTATATTTCATAAATCCCTGTTTAAAAGAGTAGACAAAAGCGAAATAAAATATAAACTTAATAATATTATGTCTTATTTATTACAAATGCATTGGCAGTTGCAAGTTGTAAATTGTAGTATTAATACTCAATTGTATTGTTTTTAATTACCTTCTTCAATAACATCAACTTTGTCCACTATGAAAACAGTAGGCTGATTTTTTATTCCTACTTTCAAGAATATATTTTTCAAATCATGTTTAAACTTTTGTTCGTTCATTTTAAAATGGTGTTTTGAATGAAATGAATTATTTATAAATATTTCATAGCCTAGAAATATATAAATACTTAAAATTTATTTTTAATGTGACATAATATAACTATAATAATTGTAATCAATAGTGAAAATAAAGAATTCAGTTACCTAAGCATAATTTTGACAATGATTATAGATAGTTTATACTGGACTAATGAATAATGATTAAGTCGTATTATAATTAAAAAATATCACTAATTGTTAAGTAATATTACCAGATGTGAATGCAGCCAACTTTGAGAGTGATTTTTTTCCATTTCCATTAGAGCCAATCAGCAAAACATGCCCTCTATCCATTCTTAGCATACGATGAATTCTAATTAAATGATCTAATGCATCATTGAAAAGTACCATGTCTAACAAACCATGATATTTTTTATATTCTAATAGTATCTGAAAGGTATTACAGTACTTAGTATTAAACCAACTACAAATTACAATTATTAGGTACTAGATAGTAAACTTACTTCTTGAAATAAATAAAATACAGAATCGTAATCTATTAAGTCCTCATATATTCGAATTTGATTGTTGGAACTAATAGCATTCCTACAGTCACCGAACAAAAGAGGATCTCTAAGAACATATTCCACTTGTGAAGGAAAATATGTTTCTAATTCTTGAGTAAGGTGACGTTCAATCATTTTCCGATCCTAAGAAAAATGGTCAAACCTTTTTAAATCCAATTCTTAGTTTGATTAATTTACTGTCATTAGTTAATTTCTATTTCCGATTTCGGATGCATACATTTTATTAAAAATATTTATAACAAACAACATTTTTTTTTGAAATTTAGGTTTATAGATTTTAATAAAATATAATAATACTTGATGATAAATTAATCTATCACATATCACTCTGGTGAACTCGTTCCTCCAAACTCGTACAAATGATTCTGTAGTTGTAAATGTGTTGGGCATGATGCGGGTCATACCACTAATGATAAAACTTATATGACACAAATTGAATACGTAAATGAATTTTTCTGGTGTTTGATGAAGTTTTTTAAGTACTAACTAAAATTACAACATATTATTATTATTATATTTTTATATGATTATTATTTAAAAATGTTCCAAAATATACTTCAAGTATTATTCAATAATACTGATACTTGAATAATTTGATTATTTTATAATTTACACACTGTTTGAACTTATATAAAATATTAAAATATAAAAACATACTTTGTATAAATGTACTGTCATATTTATGATATTATGAACTGCAGATTTTATGTTTTCTGTAAAGGATTTTGTATGTCCAGATAAAATAGAATTGAAAATATATCGAATTGTATCATCAGATGGAAAAGGTAATAAAAAAACTGAACAAAGTGACAAAAAACGTGTATCTAATTCATTTCGACCACCTCCTATGTGATTCATAGCTGCAAAGAAACCTAAAGTTCAAATTGAAAACTTTAAAATAGGTATTGTTAATACTGTTAATTAAATAATTGATACGGTACATATATCCACGAGCTCTTTCCAATTGAAACATTTGTGTCTATCATACATGCCTTGTTTATCAAATATACTTTTCAATAATGCAATAGGTTGTTGTGTACCACATTCATCCATCTAATATTCAAATTTTTAAATATATATGGGTATTATTTTATTATAATACATTAGTGTAGCAGCAATAAATAATAATTATTATTAAGAGTATGCCACATGGGCATTTGTTGTTTTCGTCTAATATAATTTTTGCCTTTAAATACATTTTATAAAGGTAAATTCATTCTAATTTTAGAAATGGCAGAGTAAAATGTATCATTGTAAACGTACAATTTGCCATATTTTACATTTGTAAGACAAGACAACAAAAGCCGTGTGGTGTTTTCTTAATACTTATACGTACTAAATTAAACAGAATTATATATTTTGAATTTGATAACGTTATCTCTCCTATCAATATAAGAAATATATATATATTGGTGTATATATATTTTTAATAAAAAACTAAATTAATAAAATGTAAGTACATGCTTACTTGTGGCAAATTTAAATCATCGATAAAATAAACTAATCGCTTTCCAATTGGTGGGCCATATGTTTTTCTAGAATGCCTTTCCAAATTTGTTTCTAAATTTTGCTGAACATCTAATGACGAAGTCCTAGCCGATAAATTCAATGCCATTTTAATCTAAAAAAATAAAACTTTAAATTAAATTAATAGTTACACTGTTCAGTTAAATTTTTATTTGTTTTTGATTATCATATGTACACAACTAATTATAATATTTAAGATTCACTTGAAAATTAAAAGTACCTAGTTAACTATAATTTTAAAAGCATAAATTATATAATTTAACTGATATATGGATTAAAAATAATTTAATATTTTATGTATAAATTAAGTTTTTAATATAAATATTGGACACTTGAATAATTTTGGAAGATAATCATTTTTTTCAGTTGTAATTATAATACATTCCTGTACGATTTTTCCAAAACAAATAATTATTATTATACAAATTGTATAGTACTATTTATGTTTGGAAACAAATTAACCATTTCATCATACTTATATATATATGTATACATATATACATATATATATACATATATATATGTATAAATGTATGTTTTTATAATATAATATTAGTTTTTATTGCATATTAAAATGATTACAATGTTATTTACATAATATTTTTGATCAAGATTACGTATGAAATATTTCATTGTGGCTGTTTTTCCGGAACTCATGTCACCAACTATAATCGTAGGACGTTTTACCTGTAAAAACAAATAAATACACCTTATGATGTGTATAGATTGAATACTATATACATACGGCTAAAAATGTTTACCTTTTTAAATATTGCACTTCTAAAGTAATACTGAAATAAATAAAAAAAATTATTGCTATTATGTGTACGTGAGAAATATATATGTGCTCAATGAATAATAATAATAATAATGAATAATGCATAATTACTTCGTTTATTAGTTTTAATATCCACACTAATCTAGTAGATTCCACTGTAGGAACAAGTATATCGTCAAATGTAATCGTATCATTATGAATATACTCTGGGACTGCCTTTTTCCACGATATCCACTCCAACGTACAAAAATCTAAATAATAGTCATACCAAGTAGGCTCACCGGATGGAATGTATTTTAAACGTTGTTGTTTTGACTGTTCGTGGGCGTTTGAAGCAGTCACAAAACCAGATAATTTTTTAACATTTTCATCAAACGTGTGACGAGATGTCACATCAGTTAGTAACGTACCCAGTGATAAATATAAAGCTTGGATGAAAACGGCTTCCAACACTCCCATTCCAGCCACAAACGAAATCATTGAAGTCAGTGGAATGGCAATATCACTGCTAGTCATTGCAGTTTTTTTACGACCGACTTTAATCGAATCGTTATTGTCTGACGAAACTAAAGGTAATATGGTATCCAAAATAAAACAAAGTTGAGTAATCTAAAAATGTTACAAGAATAATCCATTATTTTTAAAATTCCATTCTTAATGATTATTGAGAGTACATATTTATAATGCATTTTAAAATTTTGTATTTAGTATTTACCATATTTAATTTAGTTTGAAAAACAGCAGTCTTTAGCGGGAAAGATTTATTCAAGTCGTTTCCATCTTTAAAAATTAAATTTAGCAACGCGGGTACGTATTTTTGAAAACATTGATCCAATGCTGTTTGCTCCATTAAACTTCGTGGTTCTAACCATCGTATCCAAAATGGCATATAACCAAGATTACTGGGATCAACATACACTATACCCATTCTAGATATCGTAGATGGAGCTGAATATGATAAGTGGCCGACTTCAAACAACAAATTACATTGTGGTTTTATCCTAAAGAAAAAATTAATTATGGCATTGATTAAGCTTATTAATTGTAGCAGAAAAATTTACATTTTAGTCTTTATTTAAATTAATATTAAAAAAATGTATGACTAAATTGAATTATCTATAAAGTAAAAAAACTAATTCCCCGAGTATGGAGGTAATATAGCCATGTTGGTACAGAATTTAACAGAAAGACCTGACAAACAAAATACCTTCTATTCTATTCAATATTTAAAATTTGTGTTTTAACAATTGAATTACTTGTACTACATGTATAGTACAAAGTACAACATATTAATTTTTTTCGATACCTTCTGAAGATAAAACATTTTAAATTTTGTTAAATTTTTTTAGAAAAATTCAAGATAGCTAATTTGTAAATCTTATTTTTAGAAACATTTTGATGGTAAAAACGTAAGTCATGTAGTTTATTTTTTTTACTTTTTATAATATCGATTTGAAATGTAATAACTATTTTTAAAATATTCTTTTTATTTTTTACCATAAGAATGTTTTTAAATTATTTACCATCCATATATTTTCATAATTTTTGTCATACGTTTAACTACATAATATCAATTTTTTTTGTATGTCAGGTCTCTATCTGTTACACTCTGTATATATACAGGGTGATCCAACAAGAATGCTCACCCCATGTTTTTCTTTAATAATGAAGTTGTTCAAAATCTGATTTTCGGAATCTTTAAAAATACTCAAATACCATAGTTTCATATCCTTGTGATTTTTTGTACCACTTAAGGAGTGTCCTGTGGCGATACAAACTTTTGTTTTTCAAATGAGAACCCCACTTTTTTACTGTAAATTATTTAGCGGATAATTTTTTTGAGAATTTTTATGTATTGAAATCAAAATTCGAACTAGTAGTTTTCTAGTTATTACATATTTTGTGCTAAGGATAATATAGTTTATAATAAAAAAGAAGGATATGCTTATATAGTATACGTTTTTATCTATAGTGTATACACATAATATAAAATAATACGTAATTTTATATTTATTTAGTCAAACACTTAGGTAAATAGCAGGTAAAATCCTTCTTGATTTATTTAGTTATTTTTTTTATTCCATGTGTAAAACTGTACAAGCATATCCCTATTATGGACTTTTATCCTTAGTACAAATTTTCCAATAACTAGGAAAGCACTCGTTCGAATTTTGATTTCGAGACATATAATTTCTAAAAAAAATTATCTGCTAAATAATTTAAAGAAAAAAAGTGGGGTTCTCATTTGAAAAACAAAGGTTCGTATCGCCACAAGACACTCCTTAAGTGGCACAAAAAATCTCAAGGATATGAAAATATGGTCTTTGAGTATATTTAAAGATTCCGAAAATCAGATTTTGTAGAACTTCATTATTAAAGAAAAAAGGGGATGAGCACACTGGTTGTAACACCCTGTATAATATATATTATTTAGGTATAATAATATTTTTATTTACACATAACGCATACATTTAATAATAAGTTAAGAGGACGCTACACGGACATTTGTGGTCTCCGTCTTACAATAGCACGTATTACACCAAGTTTAAGCTCAGCAGATCATGTTTGGCTTCGTTAGTTTAAAAATTATAGTGAAGCGACCTATTATGAAACTTAAAGGTAAGAATATTTTCTGTATTGCTGAGTGGGTTTTTTTTACGAAACTTCGATTTTTTAGTAAGTTATGAGCATTTTTAATTTGCGCTATATTCTTTAAGCAAAATTTGTTTAAAAATTGAACTATCGTACAAAACACACATACAGACACAGACAATATTTTTACTATCAAGTTTCATAATTGAAAGATTCATTCTAATTTTTAACTAACAAAGCTTAACGTGATTTGCAGAGAGTACATTTGGTATATTATGCACTATTGTAAGCAGGGTTTAAAGTGGTAAAAAAATTTAGATGGAGCTAATGTCTCCATATAGTTTTAAGCGTTCCATATATAATTGTGTGCATAATGTCTAATGTATAAAATCCTAATTTGTTAAAGGGGACGCATTTCAACCGCCGTCAGAGGTGGGGGGAATGAGTCCTCTTGTGCCCCCCCCCCACTTTAACCCCTGATTGTAAGACGGAGACAACAAATTAATGCCAGTGTGGTGTCCTTTTAAAGCTATGTCAGAATAAATAACCCACCTAATTTTCTCTCCATTTGATAACATTAACATTCTATTATCATCCATGGCAGGATTCAAGTCATCAACCCAAATTGAATCTATATCACCGTCGAACAAAATAAAATGGTTGGACTGATTATTAGGGACAATTGGTTGATTAATATTTCGAAAAATATTTGTCAATAATCCATCATTCCAAGATTTTGTAATTGGATCTACATAACCGTATAACTCTAATTTAGTAAATGCTTTAGGGTTAAGCGTTATAAGTTTCGTCGATATTTTTAAATGATTTAAAGTTTCACATAACACGTTTATTATAACAGATTTCCCTCCACTTGTTGGTCCGATGATTGCAATTGAATTCCTATTTCTTAGTATTTCCATAATTTCGTTGATTTTTTCTATTTGGGTGTCAATTTTTACAAATTTTTCACGCTTCAAAGCAATTTCTATAGCTTTGATAAAATCAGCATCTTTTGTTTTTAAATATTTGGTGTTTGGAAATAAGTCAGATATAAATGATAAAAATAAAGCAATATCTTTATCAATTAATTTAGGCAAGTTTAAATCTCTGAAAAATACAAACTGTATTAATTTTTGAACCAAATAAATGTTAATTAAAATTTATTATTATTATTATTTACTTATTAAATTTAAAATTTTGTTTTTAATATTATTAGTAAGCAAAATCGGAACTTTAAACTGTACCCTACACAGTAATGTACTAATTTTGCATATACATTACGCCGTTTAATAAATATTTTAAAAACAGTTAACTACCATTTTCACACTAGTAAAGAGTATCCAGACATCCAGGTATACATACTATAAAGAGGGGTAATTTCCCCCCACTGAAATTTCATTCTCCCCCCCCCCCAGACAAATACAACTGTCAACAAACTGTATTTATTATATGTACAATACTCATTATGATTACCTATAACTTATTTAAAATAACTACTTGTTTCTAAATTTAAAATTTTTTAATTTTAATTTGTAATGATTAATAATGTTATGATATTTAAAACTAATTAGAATATTATCAATAAAATACCAACACATTTAGTACAATATATAAGATAATCAATTTTATTTTTATTACCTATTACAATTAACATGTTTTGTTGAGTTATGAATCAATTAGGATAGATTAAAGTTAATTCATTACTCGATCTGATAAAAATAAAAATAATATACAGTAAAGTAGTATTTTTGGCTTTTTTAGAATGCATGGTATGATGGTTTAAATTATAGTATGTTTTTAACTCAATAACTATATCAACATTATTCAAAACTGGTAATAATATTATGACATGTTAATATTATATTCTATTCAAACATAAAATAACTAGTAATTACTAAGTAATATTAAATATTATTATTTTTATTAAGCTATGCCAACCTTAATATTTTCATTATTGCTAAACTCTCTTCAAGCTCTGGTTGATTGGTTAGTAAGTATCTTGCAGTCTTGATGACTAATTTTAGAGATCTTAAATCAAATGTGTAGTTTAATGGATTTGAAAGTCCATCTTTACATAACTTATATAATAATGCTATTTTCTTTGACAAAGTCTATTAAAAAATGAATTATAATGATCCTGATTTTTATAGATACAATTTAAATTTAAGAATAAATAGCTTCTAAAACCTTACTTTAGCCTCCAAAAATCCTTCAGAGTATAAAATAGTGAAGCATATCTGTTCAAAATCAGGAAGAAGACAAATCACTGGTCTAAAATGACTTTTTATTATTTCATCAATTTCTTCTTTTTGTAAATTAATTTCTTCAATATTCATTGTAATGAATATACCAATTTTTGGATTAATACTTATATTATTTTCATGAAACTAAATAAAAGTATTCATTATTATCTTTAAATTGTAACATAGATAAAACTTTTATAAGAATAATTTTTTAACTACATTACATTGTTTTCGTTTTTGTTCCCAAATAGTGCCCATTTCATGGAAAATAGTAAAGTTGATATAACAGACAATGTTTTTTGAGAAATTCTACTAAACTTAGTAAACAATCCCCAAATTCTACTTTGGCAAATTCCATTTAAGAACTGACTAAATGTCTGATGGTCCAACCCATCACTACAGTTAATAATTTTACATATATTGCCAAAAATTTTTGCCATAGCCATAGTAGTTTCGGTTTTACCAGTTCCTGTAGGACCTATATTATAAACGGCAATTAAAACATTTTTAAGACTATAATATTTATTTATTTATGATACTTCAGAAGGTTGTAATACCTATTTGTAATAACTATTGTAATTTAAATATTTTAAGCTAATAAAATCAAAAAATCAAAATAAGAATAACTTTTAAGCTATTATAATTGTATAACAGAAGTCTGTGCACAAAACTCACGTTTCACAAAACTATAAACCAATAATTTAAATTACACACTTTGTGTAAAATCTGACAAGTTATTAAGTGCTTAAGGGCTGCATTACATTACTCATTAGTCATTACAAATAAATTAACCCTTAATGAAAGTATTTTTTGGTTATTCTTCATACTTAAAGCTTTATAGGTTATAATTATATCTACAACTATATGGTTATGTAGCCAAATCTAACAGTGTTTTCTTACCGTGAGTTGCACCACCTAAACACATCATTAATGCTTGTGTGAACGTTAAGAATATACGATTAGTTAATGGGGTTATAACAATGTTCTTAGTTGATCCCATAAATTCATATCCATAATCAAAAACCCCTAAAAAATTTTAAAATATTATTGTAATTTATTGAAAACCTAAACAGACGAGTAATGACAAACATCAACAGCCGTATATAAGGCACTAAATAATCAATATTTAGCACAATCAATTATATCTAACACTGACAATTCATCTTTCAAATTTAATATAGAAACATTATTTTATAAAGGTATCACCCAGTATAATCATCTCAATATTAAATATTTAAGAGTTATTATTTATTAATATACACGGTTTTTACCTGAACACTGAGATACGTATAAATTGTCCTTGCTTTTTATCCAATATGTTTTAATTACACTGTCCCATTCAAATGATTTTGCAAAGGTCACACTAAAAATTATATTAAATTTAAAGGTATTTATAGAACTAATTACAAAATTATCGAATTAATTACTTATTTATAACAAATGATTCAATAATGTCCCTATGATGAACATCTAAAATTATTATAGAACTATACTTGTTTCTTTTATTTTCCAATACTTCTTTTCTACTTTGTATAACTATTTCATTGATTTTTGTATTCAACTGCTTTAAATATTGTTTCATACTTAAACGGTTCCCCTAAAATATATGTATATATTATAATACATATATTTATATTATATTACATTACGACAGATACAGCATAATTCAAAAATTAGTTGACTACAAATTATAAACAGTGTATTAATTGATATTAATACAAATATAACTTACTAATTCAATTTCATCAAAAACATTTTCTACTTCAACAGTCCACCACACATTATCTGCAGTCAAGCAAACTGATAGTGGAAAATTATTTATCCAATCAAATCTAGTAGTTGAACATGAAACAAATCCTAAATCCAATATAGCTTTTTTAATCATAAAACGGTTTGATTTTTGCATTTGATCAATGATTTTATGCATCCATTTGTCTACAGTGTTTTTAATAATTACATAATTTTTAAATACTAATACTTCATCATTAAATGTTTTCATTGCTATAACTGTATGACTTTCATCTTTTAGTTCGTAAATAAAACTTTTGATATTATCAAATACCTAAAATAAAATATATTCATACATTTACTAATCATTTGAATAAGTTAAAATTTAAGCTTATACACATTTACAGTTTTGATACCTGAATAATATATTCCTGAATAACAACTGGATTAGAATTACCATAAATGAACAACAAATCATTATCTGATATAAAATAAAATCTAGGAAAACAATTTCTTTTCTCAGTAATATAACTATTTAACTCTTTTTGACTAGTGTCTAAACGAAATTCTAACCATGATAATTGGTTAATAATATTTGGCGATAAACACTGTTCAAGGATCTTCGAATTTCTATTTGCATTAGCCATTACCTATGAACATAATAATTAAATCAATATAAATTAAATAATGACAACAAATACTATACATGTACTTATACATTATAATTCATACAAATCTTTTAAATTTAATCTTAGAATTTACCAACAGGTATACCTGATACCTAGGATCCAATACTAATATCTGTTAGTATTGGTTCAGGGAACTAATTTGCCCCTATATTGAAAAAAAAATATTAATAATACTAAGTGCATAGGCCTATGATCAATCACGAAAATTCAGTAGAAAGCAGTGTATTATTTAAAATAAAAAATAAAATTGTATACTTTGCAATTTTTATTAGCAATATTATGTGTAGGTAGGTACTGAATAAATGGGATATGTACAATAGTAATTTATTATAGCACTGTCTTATAAGTTACAACAGCTGGTGCTTACTCTTGGTATTCAGTACTCGTTATTTGAACATAATAAGAATTAGTTTTCACCATTAGCAATGTTATAGGAACAATGCTTTTTCACACTATTAAATACATTTAAGAAAACAATCATATTGTTAGGAAATGCTAAACCGAAGTATATTTTCACATAATATTGCTTATAGACAGTAACACTTAAAAACCAATGTCATCGTTCCCTTCTAATTGTTTATTAAAAAAACTAGGGTTATTAATTATTCATACAATAATAACAATATACCTCTTGGTAGAATTTGTTCAATTCATTGAATTTCTCAGCTTTTTCGGGTAAAATATTTAATATGTTTTTCCCAGCATATATTTCTGAGAGATAAATCCATTTTTGCTGTACATACCACCATTTATTTAGAACTTCATTCACGGTTGATAAATGTTTCTGCCATGTTTCAACTTTTTCTAAAAATGGTTCAACTGAACTAGCAAAACAAAATAATAACTTTTTTGAATGAAAAAAACTTAGAGATTTTTATTAATTGTTAATTACTATGAGTTCATCATTTTATGCATTGTAATTTGATCATCTTCCAATATTTGCAACACATAATGGACTCCACATAATTTATGTTCAATATGAAAAATTACATTAGAGAATTTCTCTATGTTTAGACTCATTGTATTCCACCGCTATAAAGTATTGAGTTAATTTTGTTTTATAAAAATATTAAATATATAAATTTGATAGTATTTAAATACATAATATTTGGTTCTTACTTCATTTATTTCTCTCAATTTTTGTTCAATTCTGTTTTCATCAATTGCTTTGCATAGTATTTTTTTAATAATATGTTTGTGTTTTACAATTCTTATTTTCAAAACTGTACCAAATGTTAAAATTTCTTCATCAAAATTGAAATATACACCTACGCAAATTATGTATAGAGTGGTTAATTAATTATTAATAATTATAAATTGCAAAATGTTGTCTAAGATACTTAATTTTCCAATATTATAATACTAACTTTATTGAATTTTTTATTGTAATAATACATTGAAGATGGTATGTTGTGTATTTTATACAAAAAATAAGGCAATTTGTAGAAGGGTCACTAGGTATTTAGTTTAAGTAATTTAATACTTAATTTAATTTTTATTAAATTTATGTTTAAAATTAGGTGGAAAATAAATTGATATGAACAGAGGACAAAACTAAAACCAAAATATTTACAGATAGTAAAATATATTAAATTATTTTATAGAATTTTACATAGTAGAAAACAGTATTTAAATAAAAACATTTTTACCAATAGTATCTAACATTTCTTTCCAATGTCTAGGTTTAAAAGCCTCATTTTTTAACTGAAGTAAAATTGGTACACTATGCCTCAATTCCTTTAAATAGTTTGCTAAAATTTTTGCTGGGTGTGTATCTTGCGCTAAGACAGGTAAAGTCTTAAATTTTAGCATAAGAGCACCAAATGCTTCACGAACAAATTCTATTTCAATCTCAAACCATGATATGTTTGACCACTTTTCAATGTCTGACTTTTGTGCTTCAAACAAGGAATATACTAGTTTCATGTATTGAAACTCAGAATAATAACTATCAAATCGATCTGTATTTAATATTTTTAAATTAAATAGTTCTTCCTCTTTAACTAATTTTTCTTTATTTTTCATGAAATCAGTAAATTTGCTGTCATATTCCTAAGATAATAAACATAGTGGTATTTTTAAAATAATCAATGACAAAACTACAAAAAATGATAAATACTTTACAAACATTCATTAAGATAAGTCCTAAATCTAAGTCATCCTTAATTTTCTTTAAGCCACACTGGTCATATTTTTCTAAAAATGTGTCAACACTAACTGAAAACATTTCAATATTGATTTTAACAGTATGGGACCAAATGAGTTTAGCTTTTTCTAAAAATAATTTCTTTTCTGAAGCAATATGTTGTAACATTGTCCAGTCGTCCTGGATATATGAAATATATGTTAGATCATCATTAGGCATAAAAACTCCCATTTCTTCCAAAATATAAATACGATGGTTTAAGTTTTGAAAAAATATCTCAACATTCACTTGTTCTGTTCTAATCTCTTCTATTATATAAAGAGTATTGTAAAAATCTTCGCTATTTCTTATATCATCGCTCGTCAGTATTTTAAAAGTCTGTAATTATTTTTAATAGTATGTAATAAATATTTAATGTACACATATATATTATATAAAGATACTAATAATATCACTATACTATAATAAACTGTAAAATATTTCTATTAAATAATACAGATACATTTTATTTTATTTTATACATAATATATCTAATAATATTTAACTAAATTAACATACAGATACATTTTATGTATTGATGAAGTTGAAGCCTGGTAATTTTTAGAATCATAGGATCACAAAAAAAAACTACCAAGTACAAATCTATAAAGGAACTTGTTAAATTCAATTATATAAATATTTATACATAGGTACTGAGTCATTAAAAAATATATAGGTGAGAACTAAATTTTAAAATTCATAATTTTGTATGAATTAATTGATAATTTCTGATTGTTTATAACTTTTAACTAATTGTATAGTACTTACGTCAAATTTATCCCCTTGACGATGCATCATTTTTCTTGTAGATTTTATTAATTGATCAGCAAAATATAATATCAATTCACGGGTGTATAGTTTCATTTGATTTATTATTGGACTGAGATCTAACCTAAATTGGATACAATGATATTGAAAAATTCTTAAATGATAAACAGTTCTCAAAATAGTTAACTTAAAACCATATAATCGAAGGGTGATATAAAATAAAGTAGATATGATATTCAATAAAAACAGAATTTAAAAAACAATAAAATGTTACATAATTAAATGAATTTAATTACATTTTGCAAAATGTATTGTAATAAAAATTAAATATAATAAGAACATACATTTAAACTATTAGTATAGGTATCCATAAAAAAATATAATTATTATTACTTTAAATAACAATTTAATTAAATAGTTACTTATATAGAATTTTTTAATAATACACACAATTAAGCAAGACATAAATCATACACAATATACATACTCGATGCATTGTATCTTTTTGTGTGATGACATTGTTGAAAAATATAATAGAAGTCGTTTTAAGTCGTTAAAAATGTTTTCATAATCCTGAATAGATGTATCTGTAGTTGAAAATCCTTTATTTTTTATTTTTGATCCTTTCCATAAGAATTTGAATTGTTTCCATCTGTATAAATAATACACATATTTGAAATTCACATTTTCAAAAACAACTGAAAATATTATACATTAATTTATAATTTATTATGCATACTTTTTTAAATATTTATTCACATCGACCATTAGACTATGGGAAGTTTTACGGAGAACTTCAATTTTTTCTAGAATAGCTTTATTGTTTATTATTTCTTCATACACTGTATTCTTGTTGTTCTCATTCTTCCATTTATTTTCTTCCGTCAAGCAATATATACATGATTCTATTTGCCAAACAGGCAAAACTTTCAACCATGTCAAACACTTTGTTACAATTCTTAAAATGTTATTATAAGTGACATACAAATTAGGAACTATGGTAATTTCTTGGTCGGTTATGTTTACTGTCAATTTGATAAGTGATCTGTCACTTAATAAAGTATTATTGTAATAATCCAAGTTGTTCAAATACATCCTTTAAAAAATGCAATTATCATAAAATAATGATAAATTCACTCCTATTAAAATTAAGTAAATAGACTTACTTAAAAATAGAATTCAGTATCATATTATTATAACTTAAATATAACCCAAACATAGGTTTACATGTACCACTTTTTGTACCAAATAAATATAGTTCTAGGCGTATTAAACATTTTGAAATTGCTTGGTAACTGTTAATGATATGGCGAAATTCTTTAAACCCAAACCGTTCATAACTTATAGGTAATATTTTGTCCTTTTATTATGTAATGCATAAACACAATAAATTTATTAATACAAAGCTAATATTATTTACATATTATGCTTAACAAATAAAATAATTACAATTACTGTCGATTCGTTATCGAATAAAATATTCAATGGAAATAAATTTATATTTTCAAACGATGTTATCAATTTTGATATATAAGATTCAACCTAAGAAAATAAAACCATTGAATATTAATAGTTCATTGAATATATGTCATAATAAATTTACTCACTATTTTTATATTGATCAACTGATTTTTTGTCCTATTTATTAAAATCAACCCATGGATTGTAAATGTATCTATACTTATTGAAAGCCAATTATAACGACAGAGACCCATGTAAAAATAATCTTCAATATCTTTCAATTTGTGTTTTAATATGGCAAGCTAATAAAGAAAATAATAACTAAATAGGTATATTATATAATATTAGAACTTCCCACAAGAAATATAATAGATGTATTGAATTATCTTGGAATCATTTACAAAATATCTTCTAGACTACTTTAAAATGGTTTTCAGGTTTATTACATCATAATAAATGTAACAATAAATAAAAAAATTTCCTCAGTATTTTTTATACAAAACTTACTTCTAAATTGCTCATAGAAGAAATAAATGTATTGTATGTATTAACCATATTTTTCACTTTCATTATGTCACCCAGTAAACTATTTTTCTTAGCTAATAACATTTGTATCTCCCTAGGTAAAACAATTCCCAAGTTTTCCATCATCTCTGCTTCTTCAATCAACTCATAGACTTGATCCTATTTTTAGAAAATATATCATCAGTAAAGAAATTATTTGAAATAGTTTAATTAGCTAAGGATATATATGTTACATTAAAATTGGTTTTGAACATTAGTTTATTATCAGATAGTATTTGATTTGATTTTCTGGAACACTTTAACCAATCTTTTAAATCTTCAATTTTAGGTGCATTACTTTCAGTATGACATTGATCTAGATTACAATTTAAGAAAATAATAGGTATAAACATTTTAAAATAAATAATGAAAATAGTACTTTACAATATTTTTTTTTTTATTGAACTTAAGCTCGGTGACTAAGGTTATTAGCTGTTGTGGATGCTAGGAACTGTGGTAGGGATAAAGTTGGTACGGTAGGTTGTTTTTACGATTGTTGCAGTTGTTTCGGTAGGTAGCAAACACGTGTATGTGTGGCAAGGTTTTTAACTACTATGAACCCGGGTGGTCATCCATCCGGGAGCTAGTAGCTGTGACCGTTTCTTACTCCCAGTCGCATTCCGCAACTGGCAGCAGCCAACGCGCCACGCCAAGCCACACTTTACAATATTATATACTATAAAAACGTCAATTATCCACTTAAAATTATTCATTCTAAAATTAGTGGTTTGGTATTTATTTTGTTTTATCATTGTTATTAAGTAGGAACTTACAATATTTTGTTGGATACACGATATCATCATTTAAAATGAGTAATATCTTTTAATGATGTTTATAATATTGTATATTATAAATGAATATTATTTAATTAAATATATCTACCTGCATTATGTTTTGTTCCAATGCAAACAAGTATGTTGGTATCCATTTGGCGTACAGCTAATAATTTTGCTTTATTTGTCCAGTCAATTAGTTTTAACCGTTCATAGCATTTCATTTGATCAACAATACTTTCATACATTTCTACAACCTAACAAAAATTGTACACTACATCGTCAACACTTTTGGTTTATAATTTTAAAAATCATCATTTTACCTTAAATTTTAAAGGCATATTAAATTCATTGGCTGATTGGAAAACAGTTATTGGTTCTTTAATTTTATCAAATAACATTCGCACCCAGAATATAGATCCAGAAATTGGAGGATGATGTCGAGAAACTGGTGGGGTATTTTGGTGAGTCTAAATATATTAATAATTAATTTAATACCTATGTAATAAATAATATTATGCAAATATAATTGAGCACATTATTCTTACCAAAAACCATGTTTCAATTGTTGTCAACTCATTTTCATACTGTCTCAAAATTGATTCATACTTGGTTTTAAGTTGCTCTTTGAAAACAGGTCTTGAAGTAAACTTTTGAAGCCTTTCCAAAATTAAATACGCCTCTTTACATGACCTTAATTAAAAAATTTAAAAAAATAACAATAATTATAAAAATTGGCATTTTATTAAAACGTTAATTGAGCAAGAAAGTCTGCTTTGACCCCAAAAGTTATTAAAATTATTATTCTTTAAGATAATATATAAACCTAAGTTACTAAAATGGTTTAGGTACCTTAAATTATTAAAACACCAGTCAATAAAAAGTTTGCATTCTTCTTCAACTCTTAATACTTCCAAATGAAATTCTTTTAAGAATAAATTCCAATTTTCCACATTATCTTCACAAAATAAATCAAAATCGATTGCATCAAAAACTTTGTATAGAGATTTAACCCTACTTATCATAACATCTAAACCAATCATATCTTTAATGACTGATCTTAATTCTGGACCCAAAATGTTCAAAAATTGATTAATTGTCTAAATGAAAATAAAAATACATTTATTTTAGTTATTTCATGAATTACTTTGTTAATTTTATTTTTTCGTCATATTTTTAAAATATTATCATATGAACCTCACTTAAATTCCATTGAAATTATTGGGGTACAAGTAAAACAATGTAAGTATTGAAAAATGAAATCATACTGGTAGCATACAACAATTGCAGAACTGAGTAAACAAAAAATAGATACTATGGCATATGTGTAAATCTGAGTAAGAAGTAGTCTTTGCGTAAATGTGAATAATTTAAAAGTTGAAGTGTTGGAAGAGTAATTTTACGTTATAAGATATAAGTATTGAAGACGAAGACAATGATTTAGGCACACCATTACCATAACATAATACTATTATCATAAAAAATGTATGGAAAATTGAAATTGTATTTTGAATTCTGCCTTATGACAATGTTTACCATTACGACTAGATAAAATAAAATATAGAGGCTGAACCACATATACAACCGTCATGATTTTTGCTTGGGTATTAAAAAAATAATTTACAGATTGTAAATGTATTTATAATAAGTAAAAAATATATATTTCTATAATACGTAAGCTACAAACTCAAAATACTTACGACCACTATTTCATGAATATCTTTTGCTATACGTTTAATATATTCTATTTTGTTAAACAACACACATTTATCAAACTCCCATCTTTGGAATTTAGATTTTTCAATAGATTTTCTAGTTTCTAAATATTTTGCTGACCAAACATCCAACATTTTTGTAGCATTAAAAGACATTTCTGATATTTCTTCAATATTTTTATTTCTAAAAAAAAGTTTTAGGTGCTGAATATGCTGGTATAATGGTATATAAGAGATTATTTTATATTAAAATATAATGAAAGTAGACATCAAAGTCAAACATATTTATGTCTTATGTAAGTTATTGTGTGCACTGTGTAGAGATGGCTTAATATTTTCTAATAACTAATAATTAATATTTATTTAAGAAAAATTAGTAATTACTTACTTGAAAATTGATTTTAAGTCACCTAAATTTCGTCCAACGTTTTCACATAAGCCATTTGAAATTTGTAAAAGCAATCTTAACATATTTACGTCTTTACCAAAATATGGTGATAAAACCCATATAGTTCTTAAATCATCGAACCAAATAGGTATAATTTTAATTATTGTATTAAAATCTGCTGATATAAAATCCTAAAATTGATTAAGATATTTATAATTTTTTCTAACACATTCAAATTATTGACACAGTTATAATAAATTAAAAACAAAAAACAAAAAAGTGTGTAACACTCTGCTATATATTGAGTGTCTAATTACTGTAGGTTCAATTTGCATTCAATATTATGAAATCATTGTAAACGATTTGAGCCAAAACTGTTTATCAGCCTTTAAACTAAGTATATTTTAAGATGTTATTGTGATTTAATTTACTATTATACATTAATACTACAGCAGAACGTAGGTTAAATTAATTTTTGCAAAAAATTTGAATAATATTTTTAAATTCCATAGAATAACTAAAATTGTTAAATATTATTAGTTTAAATATTTAATTTCATCCAAAATGGAACTTAAAATATCTGTAAAAAACTGTGTTTATATATATTTTTCAGAATTTTTGGTTACGGTGTAAAATATTTAAGTGGATTCTTGTATTAAATTTTAAATCGTTAGATACCGATAAAAATTAAGCATTTTATACATTTTTATCTATAAAATAATTTGAAAATTTTTAATATGATACATTTTATCAAAATTTGAACTTTAATTGCGTATAAAAAAAATACTGCCTTTGTATTTTTGAACTACTTTTGTAAAATTGTATGAGGATCCTTGTTCTAAAGCGTTTTGACCAAACAAATACAGTTGTATTGACATATCATATAGAAAAATACTAAAAAAATTCAAAATTTAAAATGTCTGTAAATATCTCAAAACGAGTCAAAATGTATTAAACTTTGAAAATGTTATAGTGGGTAGAAAATGTTAATATCAAAATTAGGTGAAAATTGCATGCATACAGCAATGATTTTTTTTTAATTACACCCAAAAACAAAGTTTCAAAAATTGGTTTTGCTTAAAAATTCTTGTTTTTCCTTAATTTTCATTAATTAGTATAAAGTAATATAAATACCTTATAGTGTTCCATTATGAGTGAAACATATTTTAAATTGTCTTTTGCTATGCCACATGAACGCAGAAATTGTAATTTAACAATTTTAAATTCATCCCATATGTTTTTAATTGCTTGTGTACAGTTTGATGTTTTTTCAACTACGTAAAGAAATAGTTTCGTATCTTCAGATTCAAGTTCATCTATAATTGATCTAACTGATGCTTCGCTGTTTTTCCAAAAATTAAACTCTGACTGAATAGTCTCTCGCTCTTGAAACTATATTTTATTTTAAATAAAATGTTTATATAATTTTACATGGTTTCTCAAAATCAATCATCAAACGATGAACCAATAATATAAACACTAAATGCCTAGCTCAAATGTAATGTAATTTTGTTCTAAACTGCAATACTTACTTTGCGATAACAACAATTACCTCAAAAATACTAGAGCAAAGATTTTTCATTTTTGAATTCCAATTTTCTAGTATATTTACACATTGAAGAATCATAGCGGGAGTTTTTTCAAGAGCTTCAGCTATTTCTTCTACATTGTCTTTGGTAAGACCACTCAAATATTCAGTGGCTTTCAATGATTGTCTTTTTAACATGTAATCTATTGTCCTAAAATACAATTTAGTTTATGAAATTCTGTGATCTTTAATAATGTATGAATATATTCAAAACAAATAAAATATGTACTTCATAAAGATATTATTTTTAAAAATTTTTTAGTTATTAGTACCCAACATCTTTATTTTAAAAACCAAATTATTTAATTTAATTTAAATTAAATTATTTTGTTTTACTTTTATACTTTTAATATTTTATCTGAAATTCTAAAATAGTATGAAAGTATGAAACATTAAGCAAATACTATATAATATATAATATATATTACAAATTACTGCTTACTAGTTACTACTATATTTAATCAAATTAATATTAATATGTAACATGTATAATGGGTACCTAGTTTGTTTATAAATTTAAATAATATTTTAAACAAATAGGTAGGTAGACACTGGAATTAAGACAGAACATATTATGCCATACCACTTCAATTTATCTAATAAGCATTGCAATCCAATTAAAAAGTTATGTTTCAATGGTTCTGCTGAGGTCAATTTATTTATATCGTACAGTGGTAATGGCTCAAGAATAAAAAGTTCGCGTAGTGATATAATTTTTTCCAAGTCGACTGAATCAAGTCTCTTTTCATAATCATCAGGACGCTCTCCGCTAACTAAATAATCATATGAATTGTTATAATCGGTAAACATTTGGTAGTAAACTATAAAAGTAATTTTTTATAAATTAAATGTTAGGTACTTACGAATTTCATAATCATGTTGAGCTTTAATTTCACGAGTTATTCGTACAAACGTTGATGGTATACTTGCAGAGGCCAATGTTTTAATAATATTTTTTTCAGTGCGAGTAGTAACACAGTCGTGTAAAAATGGATCAATTAAAAGTTTTTTTACAGATGGTACCCAGATATTTTCTAATTCTTTTTCCATGGATTTAATTAAACATCCGCCTTTATTACCAATTAAAAATTGACTGGGCATATAAAAATCAGCTTCTTCTTCTAAATCATAAACTGGAATAATTGAGTTTGTATTTTTAACAAAATACAAATATCTGAGATCTGCATTAAGATTTCCAATCATACATCCAAAATGAATATGCAGTTCTGGTAATGTAATTATTTTTTCTTGAATCACCTAAATTATATACATACATATATATATATAGGTAGTTTAGTAATTAGGAATTAATTTATACATAATATAGAGTTATAAATAATAAGAAATCAGTCTTCACTAGTCAAGAATTTGAATGTATTTTAAAAAAAATTAATCATTTTTAGAATTTTATATAGTTTACTGTATGCAATATAAATAACTAATATAATTTGTAAAAACAAACTAATATATATTTTAAGTTAAGTTTATTTTTTAAATAAGGTACATTAAATATTTATATCGCATAGATATTTATACCTACACGGCTACACAAAAAGTTTGTAAAAAATACATGACAAAATAGGAATGGTTTCTGTGCTTACTAATACGTAGATGCTGTTGGGATAAATATTAAATACCTATGTGTATTTTTAGACACCTACTTACTTTTACTCTTTTAAATAATTTTTCAGAATATTTTTTTACTCCACCTTCATCAGCCATTTGTATAGCTAAAAAATAAATATAATATGTATTAAAAAACATTTATGAATCTAATAATTAAAGTCAATAAAAACTACTAGTTTTTACATAAATTCCTAATTTTTATTTTTATTTAAAGTTTATCTTTTAATGACTACAAATAATCCCAAATGTGTACATTCTTAAATATTAAATATACATATACCTAATCAAACATTAGGTAATATCTTACAAGGATTTGAATTTTGAATTGACAGAACAATTGGATAGGTGATTTTTAACGACATTCGGGCACCATAGAGGTGTGAAATATACGAAATTATTACAATATTAGTGTATTATGACGTATTCTCGCTTGTGTTATAATCGGCAAATGGTATGCCCGGTCGACTTTAATATGGCTATAACAGTATAACATACGCTAACTCAAATCTATTTTTTAATTTAATACTGGACTATAATATATAATTCTAGGATTATGCATTATTTGTCTACTTCTATGTACCTACCTGTATGACATGATATATGTAATAGAAATTAGTAAAAACATTCAATGCGCCTACGCAATCATTATTACGTCAATTATTATAAATCAATTTAAATTTATTGAATGGAAACTTGCTTAATAAACATCCACAACAATGCATTTTTACATCATGATTACACACAAATACACAATACACTTTTATGTGTAAACATTTTAACAGTGACATAATTTGAAGAAAAATAATTACCAGTATCTGGACTAGAATAACCATCTCTAGATTTTCCTTCATCTGATTCATTGTCAGTGTCTGTTGCAGGCGAGTCGCCACTAGTTAATGTGTCTTCTCTGTGAACGTTTTTTTTCTTTTTCTTCTTATCTTGATGTTTTTTTTTTTTTTTTTTACCATCAGACTCTCTTAACGATTGAATTTCGAGTTCAGACACTATAAAATATTAATAAAATTGAAATATACATATAAAAGTAATGGTGATGGTAATAAACACAAATCCACGAGGAATTATACAACATTCTAAAGTTGAGATAACCTATAGGAGATTGGCGAAACACTATTTTAATAATTTAACATTTGAACACTTGCCTCCAAAATCACAATGGCATAATTAGTATTTATTACTAAATGTATAAGAAAACATTAATACGACAACGACATTCTTACTAAGTAAAGTCATAGCCAGTGCCGCAACTTCCTAATAAGGGGCCCGTGTGTGATATTTTTTTGGGCCCCTTCCTAAATTAATTTTACTGTGAGTATTACAATCTATAAGTGCCAACGTTTTTAGGTTTTGTGTATACCTACATATATAATATATATAAATATATATTTTGATTCATACGTTTTATTCAATCTGTTTCAAAGGGAACAATAAGAATAAGGGATGGTATAGAATAAGCTAAGATTAATAAAAATAAAAAGGCAGACTAAACAGATTTCAGAGGCCTCCCAGTTCTAAATACCTATAAATGCTGTGTACGTCGTCACTCGTCAACCGTCGTCGTTTGCCGCTATCAGCCTGTTGTTCTTCCGACTATTCGACAAATAACGACCTAAAGACGCGATAAAAATAGATCTTATGGACAAATTGATAGTACTTAAAAAGTTAGAAACGTTAACACCTGAATACTTGATAGGTACCTACCTTTTTCTAAACGTACCATCCTATTTTGACATACTTATTACTTAATCTAATATTGTATACCTACAACTACACTAATGTTTCAACTTTTTTTTTTATTTTTTTTTATTTTCTAGATATTTACAATCTATTCATAGAATAGTAGGCAAATTAGATAAGAGTAAAAAAAACACATGAGTAATATGACGGAAGAAGCCACCCATTAATGACACTACCTATTTTGTTTAGTTTATTAGGAGAAATTTGATCTAGGAATCAAGCATTTAGCAGGTCACGACACCAATTACGTTTGAGACGTCTGGAGGGATTATCTGGAATCGAAGGGACTGCTAGATTTTTTATAATGTTTCAACTTAAAAAAAAATTATTGTAAATAGTTAAATTTTGAGTTTTAAGACAATTTCAGTGTTTGCTCCAGGTTGGACCCGGAGCCCCCCAAATGTATGTAAGCCTTGAGGCCCGTGTGCGCCCCACACTCTACACACCCGGTTTTTGTGGCACTAGTCATAGCATATTGTTTTTTGTATCATAGGTATGATGTGTTATGACTTATGTGTTTTATGTGCAGAGTGCAGAGTGCGGACTGCAGTTTACGTTTACTGATTATTATTCAAATAAAACCAATAGTGATGTTTAAAATAAAAATACATACGTTCTTCTTCGACTTCAATCTCCTCTTTGATGACCTTTTTTACCGTAGTTGTATAAATATAAAATATATTTGTGTTTATATTTCTGTTTACTGTCGAAGATTCGAGGTATTGGATAAATTGCTGTCTTAATAATCCTTCGTCTTTGTTCAGAGTTTCTCCAAACAGTTTTACAGTCTCTCTTTCAGTTCCAATCTCAAAAACGTTGTTTATGCATTTTACAAACCACAATAATCTGAAGTCCATTTTTCAAAAATATTTTTTATAAAACTACTGTAGATTTATCCTCAATTCGTTAATTCGAATTGATACGCCATATATTCGTGTAAGAAATACGCTAGGACCCCATTTTAAATTAAATTTTGTATCGTCTTCATTGTACATACTATATTCCACAATAATTTTGACTTCCTAAATAACAATATTTTGAATAGTTTTTTTTGTTCCTTAAAATACATTCATATTTACAGTTACATTTTTAATACAAATTTATAAATAAATAACAGTAAGTACCTAGCTGCTATTTATTATGATTAAGCGATGTTTTTCATTTGCATGATCGGCAATAACTACTATGTGAACTTAAATTTTGTTTTGTAAACCTGTTAGTTTAGATGCGTTTATTTTTATTGATATAAAATTAAATTTTGATGCTTTATTTTTATTGATATAAAATTAAATTTTGATGCTTTATTTTTATTTTAGTATAATTTAAAAATATATAACTCTGTATGTAAAATAAAAACTAAGTGAATGTTGGACGTAGCGTGCAGTATAAACATTTATATTATACTTGATGAAATGTTTTTAATTTTCAAATTTAAGTCAATGAAGAGATCGCAGGAAAATTTGAGTAGCGATGATCTGGTTTACTTTTGACTTAAACTAAGCTTTAACTTCAACCACCGTCCATCGATGTATCTCTAGATATAAAGTATTTTTTAGCATAACAGACGGTCCGTCTACTTTGAAAACTTAAAAATTCAATTTTTAATACATTTTAATACAATGATAGGTACAGTCAATTGAAGTACGTTTGAATGAGTAAACAAATGCATTGAATGTGTCTTTTAATTTAAATAATTTCTTTTTAGTCATGAGTAGTATAAAAAAGTGATTATTTGAATGTAATAAAACAATTATAAACTATAAAATATATTACCTGCACCTATATTTACGTACATATTTTTCTAATATTAAAATTTTTCTTTTATAATTGTATTAATTAATCACCAGAAAGTACAGACACATGCTATTTAAAGTAAATATGATACAAAAACTAACATACAAATTAATTAAAATATGTTGGCTGGTATTTTAGTAAAACACAATGTAAAGATGGATTTTTATATACACTAATGCACATGCACTTCTTTACTATTATTTAAATAGACTATATTATACGAAAAATAAATCGATATGTGTAAAATGCATGTAACAGCCATTAGGTACCAACAGTAATTTAAAGTGTACACATACACTATTGTCTATTACAGATAAACAAAAATTTAAATAACCTGGCAACAAAACAAAATAATAACCGTAACTAAACAAGTCGACTGCTTTACTGATGTATAAGTTATTTCTTCCATAATATTTTGTACTGAATAATATGGAAGAGAAACTCTTATTTCTTATTCTGAGTCACACCTCTGCCTATCGATATTACAGTAATTTATAATGAATATTACTGTTTTTGTCGTTCTAGTCCACTGATTTATAGAACTGCGTGGGAGTAAGAGTAACCCACCTGGCACCTACCAACTAGTATACTGCTGCTGCAGGTACTATATATATATATACTTCGATCTTCAACTTAGGAATTGGTTTCTGGTAGTAAATTAGATCTAATTGATTTTTTTACTGATGAGAGGAGGGGGAGGCAAAAGTTAAACCCTAGAACTTTTTCTACTTTTAGAATTTTTCTAATTTTTTTAATTGAAAGTAATTTATATGAAATAGCTGCCATCGGCAACTCGGATGCTTGTGAGACTCGGTGAGAGTGGGTTGAAATTTAGAGACAATAATGTCGTTGAAATTACTAATAAAGGTCACTCCTGTTGTGGTGGGTGGTTAAAAAAAAAAAAATTGGGGAGGTGATTATGATTTTTGATAGGGCTTGGCGGTCTTGTTTTTAACGCGGGAATGTTTGAAATTCCAAGTTCAGTGTCTAGAAATCTCACAAAAAATCTGACAATGGAAATCGGCAATTGAATAATACAGTTCCCCGTCACATAACTGGAGCTTTTTCGTAAGAAAACAAGTGAAAAAAATATGATCAGAGTTCTATCGAGTTTGATTTAGTGTATTAAAATAATGTATAAAATGAAACTTATTATGGACGCGAAACATTAAATTGAAAAAGGTCAGCGGGCTCTTATTTTACGTAAAAGTTTTTTTGAAAGAAATAATTTAATGTTTAATTTAAAATAATAATGTGTTTTAAACTGGGACTAGCATCAATTTTGAATAAGTATCCAAAAATACAAATACAAACATATTTATACTTCAGTTTTGGTCTTAAATATGTGAGAAAAAATTAGATTAAGTGTAATGTGGAAAAAAGTGGGAAGGAAAACTATTTTTGAATTCTATGACAATATAACTTAAATACACTAAACCATATTTTAAATTAAAATTAATGAATAAATAAATACTGAAAACCTTACAATTCATCTTAATGCCGTCAACTCTAATTATTATTCTATTAATGTTTTGTTGTATTTTAGATACATTAGAATTTTGAAATCAACTTTTATAATTGTTTGTGACAAAAATCATTAATTAGTGTTGACTGTATTTTAAGTTATTATTAATTATAAGTACAGGTACAACGCTAGACGACTGGTTTTAAAACCATGGTTAAAAATTATGATAATTAATTAGGTTCTAATTTCCCATGGTAATATTTGAATATTTTCTTTTTATTGTTATGTTTATACAATATCGAATAGGTACCTTGGTATAGTTAGTAGGAAAAGATCATTACAATGCACACGACCAGTGATGATAGTCTACTACTACTAGTCTACTATCATAACCATAGCTTCAACTATCCATAGCCCATAGGTCGTAAGTGTACTAACCTTCTCATGACTTAATTAACCGTCTGTTTAAACAGCATGGTCGCGCGAGTTAGGCAGTGTGGAAATATTTGGAGTTTGTAGACTGCAGTCTTTAGAGTTTGTGCCCGATAAAGATTTAAATTTTCTCAGATCTGAATTTTCTGAACATCGGAATTTACCCCAGATCTGAATTATTTCCAAGATTGGAATTTTTGCTGGATCAGAATTTTATAAGATCTGAATTTATCCCAAGATTGGAATGTTCCCGAAATCGGAGTTTTCCAAGATCTGAATTTCAATAAATCTGAATTAAGGAATTAATAAAAATTTTAATTAAAATAATCTTCTACAATTCAGAAACAGCTCTATTTTACATAAGTACCTATACTTAATATTTTTCAAAATTTCCCTGTTAGTTTTGATTAAAACTAAGGCAGTATCAACTTTAATAATTTATGTAAATATTTTAGTTCCAGCAGTTGTATTTTATAATTTCGTTACATATTTCATTGTAAATTATAATTTATTATTTTTATTTTGCATATGATAATAAGCTAGTATATTATTATAATTATAAAATACAATGTACAATTTCAATTTTTAAAATATTAAAGTACATTAATTTCATACGGTTAAAAGTCTAAGCATCATCTTCTCATACAATAAACTATTATTATTATGTAGAATGTAGATACTAGGATTACTCTTTATAATCAGACGAACAGTACCTACTATACCGTAGGCTTTACAAAATAAATGCTTAAACCACAGTTAAACATATAAGAAATAATATCTAAAACTAGTATGTAACAGCACAGAATAATATGAATGGGTTATTTTCAGTTGTTCTGTGGTAACAGTGACACTATAGTAACTTCCTACTATCTAAAGAGTAATTTAAAATATTAAAACTCAGTAGGTCAGCGGTTCCCAACCCATGGGCCGCGGCCAACTTGTGGGCCTCGAGCAGCGTGGTACTGGGCCGTGAACCATATAAATATATAATATTTAAAAAATATTATCATATATTTTTAGTATATACTTAATAATATTTATCAATATTACCTACACTCTATAGTGTCAAATTAGTGTATAATTAACGCTAAATATGGGAATAAACTGAACGTTGAAAGTGATTTAATTCTAAAACCATCCGGTTTTCATCCCGATATTGACTTTCTCACGAAAGACAAGTAATGTCAAAAATCAAATCAAATTGTTTAACTTGTGATTAAGTTTAATATATGCTTAATTTCATGATAAACAATTGATTTTTTAATCCTTTTTAGTTCTAAGAACTGAGTTTGTTTATACATATATATATATATATATTTATTTATTTATGCATGCGTATAATACAGGTGAGCTATTTGTGGGCTTCAAAGATTATTTTTTTAAATTGGTGGTCCTTACAGCTAAAGAGGTTGGGAATAGCTGCAGTAGGTAATTAAACTTTTGTCAAAGTGAATAAAATTGGTCTATATTTTATAAGTTTAAGAGTATTGTATAGAATTCAGTTTTATTTATTTGCATATGAGAATTCCTTTCAGAATGCTCAATCAACAATGGCCCAAGGACCATTAATTAAACTCATATCATAACCTCTTATTAAACTCACACCAAAGAACCGCCAATAAATGGTTATTTCCTCATACCAACAAGCCACGTAAGTTGTAACTTGTAATATCATATCATTTATGCTTATTACGCTACACGCCTACACGTCTTGTATTATGTTGATTGTATGATTTTCAAAATAAAAAATAAATAAATACAAATTGTACAATAGAGCACACTATACATTTTATATGCCTAGTGCACTATGTTAAACATTTAAAAAACAGTTATGATGGTATATAAATGAATAAAAAAATTGTTACATACATTAATAAGTTTTAAAAATAAAAAATAAAAAATTTATAATAACCGTATGTGTATACTACAGGGTGATTATTTTACCACGAACCAGTCATCAATATCTCGGTAAGTATTAGGAATTTTAAGATAATTTTTTTGTTTTTAATTTTTTAGGTTTTACTGTTTTACCATACAACAATGTCTTACAATGTGTTATAATTTTGAAAATTTTGACTGTCTCTCTTATTGGATAAAACACTATTAACTTTCGATTTTCCAATGGCAACTACCTACCTATTTTCGATAACGAAAATCTATAAGCATATTGAAAAAAATAATTTTATCGTTTGCAGCATTTAATTTGTGTCATTCGTTTGCGACTTATTAACGTTTAAATACGTTTAAATACTACATGAGAGCCGTATAGTTGAAATTGCACCTATTCTGTTAGAACAACCAACCAGATGCCCGTTATAAACCTAGAAATAACAAAACATGGTTATAAATTAACTTTAAATAACTTTCA